TACTTCCTCAGATCTTGTTGCTAAGATCTACTTCCTCAGATATTGTTGCTAAGATCTAAACTCTCGACTCTCAAATCTACTTCCTCAGATCTTGTTGCTAAGATCTACTTCCTCAGATCTTGTTGCTAAGATCCAAACTCTCGACTCTCAAATCTACTTCCTCAGATCTTGTTGCTAAGATCCAAACTCTCGACTCTCAAATCTACTTTCAGATATTGTTGCTAAGATCCAAACTCTCGACTCTCAAATCTACTTCCTCAGATCTTGTTGCTAAGATCTACTTCCTCAGATATTGTTGCTAAGATCCAAACTCTCGACTCTCAAATCTACTTCCTCAGATCTGTTGCTAAGATCCAAACTCTCGACTCTCAAATCTACTTCCTCAGATCTTGTTGCTAAGATCCAAACTCTCGACTCTCAAAATCTACTTCCTCAGATATTGTTGCTAAGATCCAAACTCTCGACTCTCAAATCTATTTCCTCAGATCTTGTTGCTAAGACTACTTCCTCAAGATCTTGTTTGCTAAGATCCAAACTCTCGACTCTCAAATCTATTCCTCAGATCTTGTTGCTAAGATCTAAACTCTCGACTCTCAAATCTACTTCCTCAGATCTTTGCTAAGATCTACTTCCTCAGATCTGTTGCTAAGATCCAAACTCTCGACTCTCAAATCTACTTCCTCAGATCTTGTTCTAAGATCTAACTCTCGACTCTCAAATCTACTTCCTCAGATCTTGTTGCTAAAGATCTACTTCCTCAGATCTTGTTGCTAAGATCCAAACTCTCGACTCTCAAATCTACTTCCTCAATCTTGTTGCTTAGATCCAAACTCTCGACTCTCAAATCTACTTCCTCAGATCTTGTTGCTAAGATCCAAACTCTCGACTCTCAAATCTACTTCCTCAGATCTTGTTGCTAAGATCCAAACTCTCGACTCTCAAATCTACTTCCTCAGATCTTGTTGCTAAGATCTACTTCCTCAGATATTGTTGCTAAGATCCAAACTCTCGACTCTCAAATCTACTTCCTCAGATCTTGTTGCTAAGATCCAAACTCTCGACTCTCAAATCTACTTCCTCAATATGTTGCTGATCTGACTCTACTTCTCAGATCTTGTTGCTAAGATCTCTGTTGTAGCTAAGATCCAACTCTCGACTCTCAAATCTACTTCCTCAGTATTGTTGCTAAGATCCAAACTCTCGACTCTCAAATCTACTTCCTCAGATCTTGTTGCTAAGATCTACTTCCTCAGATATTGTTGCTAAGATCCAAACTCTCGACTCTCAAATCTACTTCCTCAGATCTTGTTGCTAAGATCCAAACTCTCGACTCTCAAATCTACTTCCTCAGATCTTGTTGCTAAGATCTACTTCCTCAGATATTGTTGCTAAGATCCAAACTCTCGACTCTCAAATCTACTTCCTCAGATATTGTTGCTAAGATCCAAACTCTCGACTCTCAAATCTACTTCCTCAGATATTGTTGCTAAGATCTAAACTCTCGACTCTCAAATCTACTTCCTCAGATCTTGTTGCTAAGATCTACTTCCTCAGATATTGTTGCTAAGATCCAAACTCTCGACTCTCAAATCTACTTCCTCAGATCTTGTTGCTAAGATCCAAACTCTCGACTCTCAAATCTACTTCCTCAGATCTTGTTGCTAAGATCTACTTCCTCAGATCTTGTTGCTAAGATCCAAACTCTCGACTCTCAAATCTACTTCCTCAGATCTTGTTGCTAAGATAAACTCTCGACTCTCAAATCTACTTCCTCAGATCTTGTTGCTAAGATCTACTTCCTCAGATATTGTTGCTAAGATCCAAACTCTCGACTCTCAAATCTACTTCCTCAGATCTTGTTGCTAAGATCCAAACTCTCGACTCTCAAATCTATTTCCTCAGATCTTGTTGCTAAGATCTACTTCCTCAGATCTTGTTGCTAAGATCCAAACTCTCGACTCTCAAATCTACTTCCTCAGATCTTGTTGCTAAGATCTACTTCCTCAGATTTGTTGCTAAGATCAAACTCTCGACTCTCAAATCTACTTCCTCAGATCTTGTTGCTAAGATCTACTTCCTCAGATCTTGTTGCTAAGATCTAAACTCTCGACTCTCAAATCTACTTCCTCAGATCTTGTTGCTAAGATCGATCTATTATACTCAATTTTACTTAAGCAATATAGATCACCTTTATTATGATTCTCTTTATCTGTACTTGTTTAAAATTAAATTACATCATAAAGATCTAATTACAAATTATTTAGAATTTTGAAATAAAACCAGTATTTTATCAAATGCTTTGAGATTAATGCATTCAAACTTAAAAAAAAAGATATATTCAGATCAATTTCAATATTATTGATTTTTTAATGTAAAAACTATGTCTACATAGATCTCAAACAATTTTATTAGATACTCTTTTTCCCAATTTTTTTCAAAATCTCTTTTTACATATCAAAAATTGTATTTTTCAATTTCATTTTTATTTTTTCCATATTTTTTTTGGAATTTGGATATGCGTCCAAAGTAGTTATGTCATTAGAAAAATATTAGATATCTGAAGAGAAAATGATAACTTAGAGAGTTTTAAAGATTTTATTTTCGAATACAAATATAGACCTCAGAGGAATACATTCTAAATAAATTTGTATCTGAGGGTGAATAAATAAGAACAAAATTTAAAGGGTTAGCATAAATAATGTAGAAATTAAGATTGGAATTTAAATTTAATACAAAATTAAAGGGAATGAATTTGCGATTAGTAGGGTATGGCAAATGGATTGGGAAACATTGGTTACACATGAAAATTATCAGATGTAAGAATTTGGTGCAGATATTTTAAAAATGAGATCTGAGTGCTTAAACAATATCTCAAAATTCAAATTTTCCAAATGAAAATTTGGAAAATTCCCAAAATGCAGAATCAACTGATGATTTTCAATCATTAATAACGCCAATACAAGAAGATCATTTTCCTTCTGCCAACGAACTAAAACAATGGTTTGATATTGCCCATGATGTTTTAATTAGTCCGCCACCTGAGAATCAACATCCAGAAATTGATGAAGAAGAGACACAAAAAGCAATTTATCTATTACAAAACTTAGACTTTCCTAAGAAATAAAATTATTTAATTTATTCTTGTTTGTTTTTTAATTAAACATGTATATTTATTAACATTTCCTTTTTTAATACCTTTCCAACTTCTATTAGTAACAAACACATAACTAATTTGAAGATTTAGCGTTATGAAGAAGTATCCAAGTAATAACGTCAATAATGCATTTGCGATAGGATATAATTGCACCAAAGGTTAAAACTTGTATAAAGAATGAAAAATGAAATTTAATACAATTTTTTTTCGAAAAAAATCCATGCTTGGCTAGATTTTCATAGTTATTGAATATGCATTACTGACATCTTGTAAAAGATGCCGATCAAGGCTTTCAAGATTGCTAAATTTCTCGATTAAAATTTACATTTTTTTTTTATTTGTGTTTAATTACATTTTACAGTTTGCAGACTTACATAAAATCCGCAACATAGTGGTTATTTAATATTTGCCCCACAGTATTGTAGTTTGAAATTTACGATAAGATTATAATTGATAAAGTAAGGTTTTGTCATTAATGCATCTTATAAACTTTCATTGATAAATATGGATAGATAAGTTCTGTGTTCAAAAGTAAGCATTTTTTAAAACGCGCAATTATATCAAGAACGACTATCATAAATTCATGAGTATCGATGATTTTCGTTTAGGATGGACTTAATCGGCTTGATTGATATACATATTTTAAAATGGCATAGCTTTGTGCATGTTATGTCAAGCATTGTGCCAAACCAATTTAAAATGAAACAAATTATTTTAAAGAAACTATATATGAACTATTCGAACACTTTATATTAATGTAGGGAGCTATAAATTTAAATATTCTAAAAATTTATTTATTTGTTAAGAGTTCGGAACAAATTTATTATTGAATATATAGGAAATCAAATAATTATGCATAATCGCATAAAAAAATGCTGAAACAATGAAAAGAAAAAAATAGTTGCCCAATAGAAAAACTCGAACCCATACCCCTACCCATTGAGTTATCCTCACTTTCAAGTTTCGATCGAAAAAAAGTTATTTAATCGCGTAACTCGCACCGTTTAGTCGTATTTCGAAGTTCTATATAGTATTAAAGATTAAGTTACATTATGTACAAAATAACTTTTTATTGTTATTTGATTTTGATAGCATTATTAGCTGAATATGAAAAATCTCGTAGAAATAATCATTTCATTCAGACATAAGTATTGGATTGTTTCCCAACAAGCATAATAACACACGTTTCATATTATAATTTATTTCATTTCTGTACAAAATTTAGATAACGATATCAAATAAAAAAAACTGTGGCATTTTTTTACTTCAAACTATCATGAAGTGTAACCAAATTGGGTGAGTATTCTTGCTATCAGTATGACATGAAAAAGTGAACGACAAAAATTGAAGATATTGTAGTTAACTCGGATTTTTTTAATTGCAAACACATCTATAATTTGTTTAAATATCATTTATTATATCAAAATCGAAAAATTCGTTTTTGGAAATCTTTGAATTTATGAGAAGTTCTACAAAGACACTTACAAATATAGCGTTTGCAATAAAAAGGCTCTTTAATCTTCTTCATCCTTGCTCAGAAACTTCTACTGGTTACCTTACGGGTAACCTGCAAAGCTGCTTCCAAGGCATCGGGAAAATAACGTATTTTCGTGAGACTACCTTTACATTTTGAATTTTTTTTTTACAAAATTTATAAAATCGAGATTTTATTAATGATTTAAGGAGTGGACATTATATCATCAAATTTTATCCAACAAAAATCCCCAATAATTGGTCGAATAACTTATTTTTCAAAAGAATTTCTTTGATCAAAAGTGACACAATATCAAACAAACTCTGTCAATTTTTTTTGAAAAATATTTTTTCTTTTTGATTTTTTTCTAGAATGACAACTACAGCGAGTCTTGATATATTAAAGAATGAAATCACTGAATATTTAACTCCCAATCCAGAAAAACTCGACAAATACAACAAAATATTGATCGAATTCGCAGAAAATCCAAAAACTCCAACACATTCATACGCACAAATTGGAGAATTGCTTAAAGACAACGAACAACTCTATGAAAAATTTGTAAATGCAGCATGCTTCTATACAGTCACAGAAGAACCAATAGAAATAATTGGAAATTTCTTAAGATATATTATTTCAATCAATCCTGATAAAGAATCAGGTTTTGAGAAAGCATTTACAAGGTTAGTGGCTTTATTCACTATGGAAATGATCCCAATTGATTACTTTAAACTCAGAGTTACAGAACTTACTTCTAAATTTAGTCCTGAGCTTCAAGAAAAAGTCAAAGACTTATCTGATAAATTAAATCCAGATATTCATGCTTCTCGTGATGCTCTTATGCACAGAATTACGAAGAATCAATCAATTGCAAAAAGTTTACCTGCAGAATTCATTGTCCATCAATCTAACGCACCGTTGCAGACTCTTCAGCTTCTTGCCATGATTGGAAATTGCTTTTCTGAAGAACAAATCAAGAGTTCACTAAAAATCCTCGATTTATTCTCAGTACAGCTTCTCAAGCTTGAACATGCATCAATTGTAATTAAACAGTATAACGAATTCGTCGGAAACTTCTTCGAAAACCTTGCAAAAACAATTTCTCCAATTAACTTAAATCCTGTCAAGATTTACAAGCTCGCAATTACAGATCTCAAGCCCAACCACATCAAATGGGCTGTTGGCCAGCAAATCTACGACTACATCTCTACAAATGAACCTCCAAAGTATACAACACCATTACAGATGGCCGTAGCCAGGAAAATGCAAGAGAAACCAGAAGAAGAACGCGATGATAGAAACGCTGCCCCATATATCGCTGAACTTCGAACAATGAAAATGTTTTCATCGATGAAAAGTATCGTAAATGCGGCCAGGAATGGTGATACAATAGTCGTTGCTGAACCAGTAATCAAGTCCATCATAGGAAATTTCGATGGAGTGAATAGATCTCCGGCATTTTTCACTCAACTTTACAAAAAGTGCCAATCCGTTGGCGCCTTTGCTCTTGAACAACTAGATATGTTAGAGAATGACACAACATCACGTATGGACAAATCCAGTGATGATTTCCGTGTTCATTACAAATCATATCTTAAACAACCGGCTGTTTTAAGAAGAATCGTTCTCAAAGGCATCAATATTCCAAAGCCAAGCGAAGACAAGCTCCAAGAACTCCGTACATTGATCAGAGAGTTCATTTTCGCATTTCCAGATGTTGATCAGTCACTTACTGATGATATGGTTGATGATCTCAATAGTGGATCACATATTCTCACTGAATCATCTGCTTTGGCCGTTTTCTATGCCCTTGAATTGCTTAATAACGTAAATTCAAAAGGAAATGAAGCTCATACGAACCTTGGAGAGACAGTTCTTAACTCAGACTCCCTTAAGAGCGATTTCCCACAGAGTATTCTCGCTCAAAGTGACCTTATTTTCGCAAGAATCGCAAGATGCTTCAACAACGCGAAGAAAGTTGAAGGATTCAACCACTTCAACTTCAATCCTGCTAAAATGCTTGGAAAATATGATAAAGATTTCCTTTTCAAGCTCGATGTAACAGATACAATCGTTCTTGAGGCTTTTCCTAATCCAGCCAAGAAAATTTCCGCTTAATCGATGATTTATTGTTTAAATTTTTTAAAATATTAGCTTTTTTAAGAAAGAAAAAATAAATGTATAATTTTCTACATTTTTATCATGTTTCGCAATGATCAAGATTTTAGATAGACAATAAACTTTAATATAATAAATGATTCATGTCATTTTTCCAATTGATATTAATTAACAAAACTAAAGATAATATTATTCATATTCAGCAATATGCCATTTGTGCTTACATATATATTATGATGAAGAGAATTCAGCTGTGTTTGAAGGACAATTTTTCAATTTGTAATGTTTTTCTTAGATTGCGGCATTGTCATAATGAATACCATTATAACTACATATTGGATACCTTTTATGTGTGCCATATATATGCTAATTTGGGTTGTTTCTAAATATGTTTGGAATGATTACGGAACCATCAATGATAAGATAAATGATTAACAAATCTCATTGATGTATTTTCTATTTAGCATGTTTTTGTGTCTTAATAGCATTTGAAATGAAACCAATAAATTGTATACATTGATTCTAAAATTGTATGTTGAATTGATGATTTCTATATTATAGCCAACTTAATTGCACTAAATGACACATATGCGCGCCGGATAATTTTTTGATTTTCGAGACTTACATTTTTTAATTCTAGGAAATCAAATTTATTTGTTTTTCGAGATGTACTTATAGATAAAGCAAGTTCAAATAATAAAAATTAACGCCAGAATTATTTTTCCAAAGTAAAGTTCTGAAATACCTGTCAAAACTACATCGTTTTTCAAGTTATGATTGAATTTGTCATTTCGGGTTAATTATGCATTATTATTGATGTTTACCAATATATGTTTTATGTGATTGTAAAAAAAACATTCAATTTTAGTTTTTTTTCTGAAGGCCGCTCCACATTCAAATTTTGAATTCTTGATGATTCGCCTTATCTCATGTAAAAAAGATATTGCAAACAGGAGAACATTCACAATTTAATAAAAATCAAGGTTATTTCTCTGAATAACAAATAATTTGTTTTTGAAATTGAAAGAAAAAAGAAAAGGTGCTTTATTAAACACTAAAAACAGCTTATTAAAAGTTGAATACGTCATCGAAACCGTAGCTGTCGACAAAGGAGAAATCGAATGGGTTTTCTTCGTCATCGATTTGAACAGAGGCTTGGGTTTCGGGAGAGGATAACTGGTTCATTCCGCCCTCCTGCTGAGACTGCTGGGAAACCTCAGGACTTGCACCTGGCTGGAGAGCACGCTGGAGCTTCGCCGAGCGACGCTGTAATAAACGATAACGGTTCTTAAGGGAAACCTCTGGTCTTCCCTTGAAAGATGTAGCAATGAATTTCCATTTCTGGCCGAATTGGGCAACCATGTCAATTAACTGCTGATCTTCCTGCTCAGTCCATTCAGATTTGTTAAGACCTGGCTGTAAATATGCGTGGTATCTATCCTTGCATTGCCTTGCTGTCCTATTTCCAAGCGCAAATGAAATCAATTCCCAATTTAAGTTATCTCCGGCTGCATTCACTAGTGCGAGAATCTGTCTATCTTCTTCATCCGAAAATTTCACTTTGCGGCATTTAGGCTTATATTCATGCTGAATAGCAACGGGAGTCATCTAAAAATTTACTGATTTCAAAAAATTCAATGCGCCTGGCGGTTTTTTTGTGATGATCCCTGAATCCTATAGTCAATGTGTGAGAAAAAAAATTTATAATCGTTTACATCGTATTTACATTTCCCAATTTGAACTCACCATCATCAGATTTCCATATTTAATTGGCTTTAAATGGCCAAATAATAGTTAACAGAATAGAACAAATATATATTTAGTTATTATACGTAAAAAATTCCCGATAAAGATTATTTTTTAATAAAAATACTTCGTTTGATATCTTTCAATCTTGCCAATCAATTTTACCGGTAATGTGCTTTGCAATTATCAAATGCAAGCTGTCATTGTACTTTTTTTTAAAATTTAATTCGAATTTGTAATGTCATAACCATTACTTTTCAATATCATATAATCTTCATTTCAATGTGACCTTTTATACACAACTGTTGAAATTCAAAAGCGTCCAGCGATAATAATTTACGAGAATCAAAATTGATTAAGAATCATTGCTATTTGGTATCTTTAAAATTTCATTCAAACTTATCGAATCTAAGAGATGATACATAGTAAAATACATTTTTGAAGATGTTAAAATATAATTTCCTTAAATATCTATTTCAAATATAAATATTTGAGTTTTGGCATATCGATATTCAAAACCTCACTAGTTGTAGGAAAATTCGTTCATTAATTTTTTTTCAAAAACATTCTTTAAGATATATTTACGTAACACATATCATTTCTTTATCTTACCTCAAATATTCTAAAATATCTTATTAGCGCGTCTTGCTTAGAGGATTAGATTCATATTTTGATCCTTTGCAATCATTTGTTTGATCTCTATTATTAAACAATTTAACTAATGACTAGTAACTTATAAAAAACATTGTATAAGTATTTTTTACAATAATTATTTTTTGAATCTATTGAAAACTATCACAGTAGAAGCGAAACATTGCCCAGCAACAGAAAATCTTTTTTATACTTAACCGTTAGTCATTTGAGACTCATTAAAGGAATGCAGAGTTTTTGGAGTTTAATTTCAAGAAAATTGCCGTTTAAAATATAAAGAATTGATAAAATGGAATCAGATTTACTTGCTGAATGGGACAATATTGACTTCGAGAAGCGCAGTATAGATAAACAACAGAGAGAAAAACTTAAAGAAGCTAAAAAATCATTGAAAAAATATCTTGATTCCAAATATAAACAAAGTAAATCAACGTTATTTCTTCAAAGAAAATGCAGAGACTTGAAAAATGATATGAATAATACTCTATTTCTATTAGATATGAATGAGGCTACACTCAAGCTTTGCAATAACAAATATACTTCCGAAAATTTAAGACTCAAAGCATTGATTTCCAGATCTGAAGCTAGCGAATATCTCCTTAATACAATGTTTAAGAAATTAAAGGATGATCAATTAAAACAGCACCAACAATCAGAAAAAGAATTTCATGATCAATGTGAACTAGAACTTAAGAAACTTAAAGAAGAAATTACCACAAAGAAACTTGAATGCAAGAAATACCAAACAGAACTTGATAAAGCTCAGAGTTCTATTATGATGACTAGGCAGAAGATGCAGAATTATGAGGAAAATATAGAATATGAAGGACTTCAAAATGAATTGAAGAATATTGAGGCAGATATAACAATTAGGAAGCGTGAAATTGATGCATTAGCAAAGGAGAAACAACAAAATCAGGGATTTAAGCAGAACTCGTCATCGGTATCGGAATCTCAGAGTTCCTCTTATTTTTCACCAAATGAAAATCAAGATTTTAATCGCTTTGTGCCAGACAGAAAACCATTAGTTTCTAGCTTTAGACAGCCACTCAATAAACCAAAGCTCGGATTCTCAACCAAATTCCGCCTTTAATTAATCAAATGATCTTATTGTTGCTTGTTTGTTATTTGTTTAAGAATAAACATTTCCTTATGTTTTTATTATTGAAATCTTAGTACACAATTCATATGAAAATGAAATAACTTTATATATTGTAAATTTGTATTCAGGATTTCGAACATGTAATTAAAAACTGTTATTTAAATCCTTATGTCTATATAGATGTTTTATTAAAATATAAAAATTCGTAGCATTTACATAAGTTCAAATATTCTAAAAAAGTTTTATTGTATTTTATTTGCTCTTTCTGGAAATGAGGAGATAGACTTCCTTGCCACGCTGGATACCAGCAATTGTGTTACGATCGCCTGTTAATGACATAAGGAGACCACCATAAGAAACATAAACAGTAGCACGATTTGTTTCTGGCTGTTCTTCGTAGTTGTAAACTTTTCCGTGCATAATATATTCGTATGAAGCAGCGAGTGTTGAGTTCTCGACAATTGATGGATGCCAATGTTCTTCAGCTCTAGATGCTTCATCACTATGAAGTTGTGTTGAGATGTTAAGCTGGAACAACTGGTCCTGCTTAATTTCATAGATGAAACAGTTATAATCGAGAACAAGCTCATAATCTCCTTCATCTGTTGTTGCTTTAATTCTAGAAACATCATCGAATTGTTTGCCGTCTGGATCAACAGCTGTGCATCTGAAGTTTTTGGTGAGAAGACTCATTGACCAAAATGTGACATTTTTAGGACAAATTTTTTTTAGCAAGAAAAAAATTGCATGCTGTATTACAATCACACATAATTCGCTAAAGCATAAAGAATAATTTTTGAACGAAAGTTGTCCGCTTTGGCTCTATTCATAGTATCTAATAGATCTAATATAGATTTTTGACACGTAAAGTGGCAAACATCCAAATTTAAAATATTGCATGGAACATTAGATGACTGATACCAATGCCGCTGAGGATACAAACAAACAGCAAAGTTTCGATTTCGAAGAATACGTGGGTTATGTTATGAGGAAACACTCAGTTTGCACAAAATCTCAACCTCCACAACCAGTTATTAAGGATGTTAAAGTATTTTCATCATTTGATGCCCAAGAAACAGCAATTAATTTACTCAAGAATACAATTTACAAATGATATAAGTTTGAATTAATTTTTTTTTTCTTTCTTATGTCATTTCCTTGATGCATAAGTTAACTGTTAGAATAATGTTAAGATTGACATATATATTTAACTCAAAATGAATATATAATTTTAAAAATTTAAGAATAAAGATTAATAGTTTTCTATATTGGAACTTGTAGATGTATACAAGTGTGCCGTTATATTTTTGAAATATAATTGATTCTTATTGAAATTTTGTAAAAATTTATCCCTAATTTTTTGAAATTTTGGAATTAACACAGAAAATTCAATTATAAATCATATTCATAATTATAATTCCTGATTAAAAAAGACATTTTATCATTCAAAATGGCTCTGAGAATTCGTTTTGTCAGGCGCGTTCCAAAGCCCAGGAGGAAGAAAGAGTCTCCATTCCTGCAAGTATCAGAAACAGAACTATGGCATAAGACATATATCCCACCTTGGGAAATGTTTTATAACATTTTAGAATCAATAATTCTAATTATTTTCTTCTTTACAGTTGCAAATCCAGTGATTTATTATTACTATTTACAGAGAGGCGCTTTTGTGGATTCATTTTATCCAAAACAAGATGAAGGAACACCAATTGAAGATTTTTCGATCATTAGTGACTATTATGATACAGTTAATGAATCGTATTATACCCTCAAAACAGATAGCTTCCTAGAAATCCATGATGTTAATAGATCTCTACCTGTTTTATGTGAGATTTACTGGATGAACGGTTCTAAAACAGAAGGATCATTTCCTGACATCGATCTAGAGTTCTTCAAACACATTAATCGTATAATCATATCACTTGATTACGTTATCGTTTCAAGCGATTTAACATATCCAGGATGCTCAAATTGGTATACGCAAACAGAGATTGCAGCACGTGATGGATTGGTCCAGTTTACAATTGAGCCTTCAATTCGAAGAAAATCATGTACTCCTGAGATGATGACCGAATTTAACGTTACAACACCGAAATCAATAGCCGTAACAGATGACAATTCGCATAGAATGCTTCAATCAATACGAGAACAGTCAATTAAAGCTCCACTTCAGTTTTCTCGCGGAAGAACTAAAAATAAATTGACCAAAAAGTCAAAGAAGAACGCTCATCCACTTATAAAACGCAATAGACCACATATTAGCGAAGAAAGGAAGTACAGAAACAATCATTTACTCAAAAATAAAAATACCAAAACCACAATTTTGTATGACAACAAATTCAAGCTTGAAGAATGCAAGGTCTTTAGAATTACCAACCATTTGATGCTTTGTATTGTTGTTGCTGACGCTCTACATATATTTACGATGTTATTTTCACTTAGAAACCGATACAACCTCCATAAAAACAGATTATCGAACAACCAATACAGAAATATGGCTTCTCTACCTCGGATCCATATAACTATTGGCTATTGGTTCATTATAGATTTTGTTTGTTCTTGCATCACCTTAATTTTGGCTTCTATTACGTTCGCCAACTCATATAAGATGACGCAGTTCCCTTCGCAGATCACCCTCGAGATTATCAGCTTCGCAGGACTATTTTCAATTATTAGATTGTCACAATGGCTCAAATTCTCTAATGGTCTTTACCAACTGATCACAATTATCAGAGAGGCAGCCATTATGTTGCTAAATCTCGCTGTCGAAGTTATTCCTATTTGGTCGGCTTTCATTTTGTTCGGAATTTTCACATTTGGCCTCATTTCTGACTCCTTCAGAACAGTCAGAGAGCTTGTTGAGCGTTTCATCACCAGTGGAATGGGAGATTCGATCGATGACTTTTACATCGTTATCGATGATGGAACAGACGCAACAGCATGGCTTTCCTTCTTCTATGTGTCAGCGATCACTGCTGGTGGCATGTGGATCATCTTCACTTCTTGTATTTCATCAATCATGTATGTCAGAGAACATTACGTTGACTTAGACTAATCTCATATATCTTTTTTATGAATAAAATGAATGTTAGAGCTTTCCAAAATGATTTTTTTTTGTAAAACTTCTCATTCGGCAAGTAAAATTTATCATGTGATAAATACATTCTCAAGTTGTTTATTATCATGGAATTGACTAAAGAGATCTTGAGTCATGGCTGAAAAAGTCAAATTAAAGCTAATTCATTCATCTACCCATATCGGACTATAATACAAAATTTTGACAATCGGCGTGAAGTATCATTGAAATTTAACATTTAATAGCTTAATTGAAGGTCATGTCGTAAGGGCGTATGTGCAACATTAAATGTGATGTATTATAATGAACAATTGCATCAATGCATATTAAATATCTTCACGCTTAAAACATACGAGTGATTGATTCTATCTGAATTATTCTATATTCGAATTAGTTATGTTAATAGGAGTTAAGTATTATTATTGACACACTTTCCAATAACATTAAAAGTGATTTTTTGGAGGGTGGATATTAAACTCACGAGTAAAATCAAAATTACAAATTGATACTTTTCAGAATGTCACTTTTTATATCAGAAAATATTGAAAAATCCTTTCATTATTTAGACATCTAAAATTAATGATATATAGCTTTTAAGATAATTTAAAAAGAAATAAAACAAAATCTATTATTTTCCAGGATGAGATAATTTTTCTTGCATCTGTTCTTCGGACATGAGTGTTACGTATCCGAAATCAGGAAGTTCGATCTCAAATGGCGCACAACGGATGTGATATGGCAGGCAAGAAGTAATTGTTCGAATTATTGGTGGAAGAAGGTCTCCTGTGAGATCTCTTGATATGAACTGTTCACATTTAGTGCAAGGAGCGCTAAACAAGTTCTTGTAGGACTTAAGCCAAATCGCAAATTCAACAATAGCTTTTGACTTGTATTTAAGGATAAAATCAGGTAATGCTCTGCTAAAGTATACGCTAAGTGTCCTGAAAACTCTAAAATCGCTCTGCTCAAACTGTGATTTCTCGTATTCTGTTGCTCCATGAACAACAACAAAGGCTGGTTGATTTTCTAAGCTAAATATAATTTTAACTGTAAATATATCTGCTACTGGTATCGAAATAAATGGAAGGAATCCATCAGTAAATGAAACACTTTCATCAAGAACGGAATTTAACTCTGGAATGAGTTCGTTAAAATTATATTTGTAGACAGGACTTTCTTTAAGGAATCTTTCTGCATTTGTTTGGAAGAAATCTGATATTCTTCTGAATTCTACGGAATCTTCGCATTTTTTGATATCATTCTTTTCGATATTTATATCTTTTGTTGTTAAAAGCATGGAATTGATCAGTTTAATGTGATCTAAGTCATGTGCAGCTTGTTTGAAAATTTGATCTGGAGGTAATGTTCCTGTTGTTGCAAGTGCATCAATATCACTCCAAATGTGATTCTTTAATTGTGTCAATGTTTTCTGTAGTGTTTCCTCTAATAGAACTTCTCTATCCGCATTCATCTGTTTTTTTACTTTACAATGTAAAGTGTTAAAAAATCAAATTTTACTCAAACAGATTTTGAAATATAACTACAGAATATAACGTTTTCTCCATTAATTTTTATTATTTTATTAAGATAATGTAAACTTCAGAAATTCACTTTTTTAGATTTATAAACTTTTTTTTTCATTTTCATGAAGAAAGTGAATTATGAAGAGTTAATGGATTTGTACAAAGACTTTAATTATGTATACGATTCATTGTATAAGCTGAAGACTTTCAGTGAAGAAGGAATTAACAAAATTTATCTTGATATCAAAAATTTAATGTTTGAAACCAAACGTGCACCTCCAAATCAAATTCTAACAATAATTTCTACTGCAATGCCTTTTAATATCAAGTACATAAAGCCATACAAGGAGATTTTCAAAATGATTTATACAGAATATCATCCAATCTTTACACGTGGAGAAATTCAAAGCATTCCATATATTTTGTGGGCAGATTTACAAGATGAAAATGGCGTTTTATTATCAACGAGGTATAGTTCTGGAATCGAAGCAAATAAAACTAAAGATTATTCATTGAATTTTATTGAAGATAACACAATTTACAGAGCTATTATGTATGATGACAAATTTTCTTTCATAATTTTCACGGAGACAGATAGTTTCGACAAGAATCAAATGTTACAAAGTGATTTATATCCTTCTTCTCCTAATTCATTGCTTGAGCTATGTTGTTATCATGGAGCTGTTAATTGTTTTAAATTGTTAATTTCAAAATTTAATTCAATAATAACACCAAAATGTCTTTTTTATTCATTTTTGGGTGGAAATCCAGACATTATTAATAACTGTTTGAAGAATGCATGAAATATGCAATTATTTCACATAACATTGATTTTGTTACCTTTTTAATGAATGAATTCGAGCTAGAAATTGATTTAGATAATTGCACCACATATCACAATTTTCAAGCATTTTTAGTTTATTTAGATCAATCAAAATGCATTAACAAATTCTTTATTTATTCGCCATGCTTTTGCATTCCTTCCCTATGTGAATATTTCCTTTCATTGGGTGCTTTCATTAACGCAAAAACTCAATTTGGGGAAACTGCGCTTGGCTTTGCAGCAAGTGTTAATTGTATAGAAATATGTGAAATTTTGATTTCACACGGTGCTGATGTTAATGCTAAAGACAAAGGTGGATGGTCAGTTCTTCATGCTGCAGCATATAAAAACAGTAAAGAAATAGCCGAATTCCTTATTTTGCATGGTGCTGATGTTAATGCTAAAAAGAAAGGTGGATGGTCAGTTCTTCATGCTGCAGCAGCTAATAACAATAAAGAAATAGTCGAATTCCTTATTTTGCATGGTGCTGATGTTAATGCTAAATACCAAGATGGATGGTCAGTTCTTCATACAGCAGCAGATAATAACAGCAAAGAAACAGCCGAAATTCTTATTTTGCATGGTGCTGATATTAATGCTAAATACCAAGATGGGCGGTCAATTCTTCATGCAGCTGCATATAGTAACAGTAAAGAAATAGTCGAGTTCCTTATTTTGCATGGTGCTGATGTTAATGCTAAAGACAAAGATGGATGGTCAGTTCTTCATGAAGCAGCAGGTAAAAACAGTAAAGAAACAGCCGAATTCCTTATTTTGCATGGTGCTGATGTTAATGCTAAAGACAAAGGTGGATGGTCAGTTCTTCATGCTGCAGCATATAAAAACAGTAAAGAAATAGCCGAATTCCTTATTTTGCATGGTGCTGATGTTAATGCTAAAAAGAAAGGTGGATGGTCAGTTCTTCATGCTGCAGCAGCTAATAACAATAAAGAAATAGTCGAATTCCTTATTTTGCATGGTGCTGATGTTAATGCTAAATACCAAGATGGGCGGTCAATTCTTCATGCAGCTGCATATAGTAACAGTAAAGAAATAGTCGAGTTCCTTATTTTGCATGGTGCTGATGTTAATGCTAAAAAGAAAGGTAGATGGTCAGTTCTTCATGCTGCAGCAGCTAATAACAATAAAGAAACAGCCGAATTCCTTATTTTGCATGGTGCTGATGTTAATGCTAAAGACAAAGATGGATTGTCAGTTCTTTATGCTGCATCAAAAGCTAATAACAAAGAAATAGTCGAATTCCTTATTTCACATGGTGCAGGTGTTGCTACAGAATAAAACATTAAAGAATTAATTTTATCATTTTTCTTTGAATTTTTGATTCATTATCTATTGCAGAGAACAGGGAGTGACATTTCTTTCATAAAGGAATTAAATATTCAAAATAACTCAAAATTATGAAAAAAGAAGGCGAAAAATGCTCGAAAACAATTTTTATGGATGCCCGGGCGACGATAGGTAAACTACTCGAAATTAACCTTAATTATATTGCAATGTGTGGTATGGAAAGTTTAGAAGCATTCAATATTAACATTAAAAGTACTTTTCTGAGGGCGATTTATCGTCTCCCCCGCACCCTTAAGCATTTCCTGAGGCGATAAGTCGGTTTACTTTAATTTGACATCTATAATGTGCTATAAATAATTAATTCATACGACTAATCATCCCCTCAATTTTAACAATTTTTGCCGCGGTTTTGCCATATGCGTGCATCGCGGAGCAGTTCACACTCATCATTGGCAAATTACTCGCAAAGCTAATCAATTATGAGAACTTATTATTTTCCAGCTACGAAAAAAAATTCTTAGAATGTTGTGTTATACTTTTTTACTATTAAAATATAGATTAATTGATCTTGTGAGAACCTCAAAAAAAGTCCCAGATATTCAACAAATGACCAAATTCTAGCGTCCCTCATTTTTTCAATCATAAGAAAAATACTATTTTATTGTGCATTATATTAATGAGGTATTGCTTCAATAATATTAAGTGCGTTATGCATTCTATCCATAAACTTATATACTTTCTGAGCTTTGGGAGAAGATTTCTTCGAAATAAATTTCTGAATCATTCTATAAAGTTGATCAAGTTCTTGCATGTCATCTTCATTAAGATTGTTTGCTCTTTTAGTTACTGCTGACATAAGTCTTCCTTGGATCTTTTCCAGAATATGCTTATCATCATTTGAAATAATAGGAATCTCAATAACTTCTGGTGCATCTTCTATTTTATCCCAAATAGAAATAATTTTATTTGCATCAACTTTATATCTCGGCATTTGATTGAGTTCCCTATTTTCTTGCTGCAATCTTGCAATTTGAACATCTTTTTGTCGAATAGTCTCATTTAAATTATTTTCACGAACTACTCTATTTTGATTCAAAAATCCAAGATCATCATTCAATCTTTTAATTTCATCATTTAAATATTCAATTTCAGTATTCAATCTTTCATTTTCAGTCTTCAATCTTTTAATTTCAACTTTCAAGCTTCCATTTTCTTTGGATACGTTTGTGTATGCTTGTACGTAACGTTTGGCATTTGTTAACTCGACATTCAATGATTCTATTTGTGCATTTTCTCTTTGTTGTACTGTTCTAAATTGGATACTCAAATCTTCGTATTGTTCATTCAATCTTTGTTTTTCACTAGTCAATTTTTGAACATCTGCTTTCAATCTAGTATTTTCTGTTCTTAGTGCAGGAATTTGATCATTTGAATTTTTAAGTGTAATTAGCTGATTCTTTAAATTTTGAATTGTTCCCATCCTGATCGAATCTTGTGCCTGTGATTGCTTCAAGGCATCATTATACAATTTCTTGTATTTTTCCAAATTTTTTGCATATTTCTCTAATAAAGCAGAATTAGTTTCATCTTTCTTCTTTAAATAATTATTATCACTTTGAAGATTCTCCATGCGCAATCTTGAAACATCAGGAAGTTCATTTTGATTTGAAGACATATATTGAACTATTAATGATTCCAAATCATATAGATCCTGTGAAGTTTGGTTAGTTACCATTCTTCTTCCATCATAAAAGCCATTATATTTGTAATCTAATGACTGTTTAAATGAATTTAATTTTGTTCGAATTTTTAGTTCTAAATCTTCCCTTCTTGTACTTCCTTGGAAAACTCTTGTTTTTGCTAAAGCTTCAGATGATTCTTGATATATCTTTACGATGGATTTAAGCTCTTTCATATATGTTTTTAAACTTATTCCTTTTGGTTTGTAAAATGTGACTAAATCATTAAGGATTGGAAGATCAAGAATTCTTACAAATGTATCTAATAATTTTGTGACTTCAGTTTCATTGGCGTTTAGATCAATTGTAGCGCTTTTGATTATACCAAGCATCGCTTCTTTGTTGTGTTCATTGCTTAGTTTTTCAAATAATGTAATTGATTGAGAAATTGATAATTTGCAATTGCTGATTATTTTCATTATTTCGTCTGCTGATCTACACATTATGAAATTATCATTGTGAATATACTGATCAATATTTTTGGCAATTCCTTGATAATCAGGAGTTAACCCGTCTCGTAGCATCCAAATTTTATTTGATAAGACACTCTGAAATTCTAATAAAAAGTGTCTTATTTTCAGTAATGATATGTTTGGGTAATCTAATAATATTGAGAAATATTATACAAGGGAAAAAAATTGAGTAGGGGTAATTTTAGCTAAAAGTGACACGCCTGTAAAAAGTGACACACCATTCACGGGTGTGATTACCGATCGGTAATTTCGACAGTTTAGAATTTAAAATTTTTTATGGAACTGTTGCGAGTTTCATAAAGAATTTAAGGAATATAAGCAAAGATTTGAATCAAAATCTTAGACCTAAGCCGCTCGATTCGCTCGCGGCTTCCGCGAATTACAGATCAGCAAAGATTTGAATCAAAATCTTCGAACTAAGCTGATCGCTTCGCTCGCGGCTTTCTTTATTATTTTAAATTTGCATATTTCCATCAAAAGTTCATAAGGTAAAAAATTTCGTTTATTTTTACTAAGAAAAAAAAAGGTTTTTGATAATAAATTTATTTTATTTCGAAAAAGTAACAATAATCGTAAAAGGGTATTGATAGGCTTGCTAAAGTAACTAATTTTAGCTGTCAAATACTTTTGTATTTTGAAGTAAATTAGTATAAATTTGTTTTTACTTTTATTTCGAAAAAGTAACAATAATCGTAAAAGGGTATTGATAGGCTTGCTAAAGTAACTAATTTTAGCTGTCAAATACTTTTGTATTTTGAAGTAAATTAGTATAAATTTGATATTATTTTAACTCCCTTTGAAAACCTCAATTTTCCATACAGAGGGAACGGGAATAGCATCCAATATTCCCTGAGAATGGTTGCGCATTCTCAGTTCCCTCTATATTTCGAACGAAGCTCTCATCGGTCTTTTTTTTTAATACTAAACGTTTTTTCCCCTGTCACTTTTAGCTAAAATTTGGGTTTGCCAAAAAAATTCCAGCAGCAGAATTTTTTTTTTCTTCATGGAGTATTTAGCTGATTTCTCAAATTATCTTCAAAAATGTCCATCGCCTCCTCATGTCTTGAGTTTTGCAAGAAATTTACTGAAAAAGAAGAAGTTTAATGAGCTAGAAGAAAAAGATATTGGAACTATATCTAAAAAGTGCTTCATATTAAAAGATGATAATGCTTTGATTGCATTTGATTATGCTGGAAACAGTAAATTTACAATTATTGCAGCACATTACGATGAAAATCCTATTTCAATATATTATAAATCCGATTACCAAGAAGATGAATATAATTGCATTAAAACTAATCATCAAGCAATATGTAATCAATGCTACAAAGTTGCAGGAACTGTAAAATACAAAAATGAAACTGGAAAGATTGTAACCAAATATTTTGATTCAGTTGATGCGATTTGCTCTGAGTATGTTGGTCAGTTTATGGTATCTCAAGAGGAAGATCCGAATTTTACAAATTATATTGTTGGAAAATTGGGAATTTATGAAGAAGATCTTATTAATTGGGATCTTTATGCAATGCCATATGTATCATATCATCAATTTGGTACAAATAATGAATTATTTTCTTATTCAAATGTTGCAATGCATTCCTCATGTTATAGCGCGTTAAAAACATTCATTGAGTCTAAAAATACAGATTCTCTTAACATATTAATACTTTATTCAGCAAATGAAGAAAAAATTGAATCAATAAATTCATTTTTCAAATCTTTAATACCTAATGACCTTAAATCTCTTGTAGAAAGCTCTCGTTGTTTCTATATCGAACCTCATTGCGTTAAAAATCCTAATCTTAACACTCCAATTCGTGATGAAGCTTTAATTGGAAAAGGATTAGCAATTGGATACTGTAACTCGTATGATTCTCAAAATCTATATCCATTGCTTGCATCTATATCTCATTTAGGCATTTCTTCGCAGAAAGTTCCAGTTAAAAACTCAGATTTCAAATTAATTTTGGATGGAGAATATGTTTCGTCTTTAATATTAGTTCCAAAGCTTAAATGTGGTCCTTACTCCGTTATCGCTCTAAGAGATATGCAAGATTTGATTTCTTTACTTATTTATTTGTTTGAAAATAAAATCGATATTTAGTTGTCACTTTTTCGAAAATGCAAAATAGCAATTTTTCTTTTTTGATGAAAACAGCATCAATCTCGGTTGTTTTTTAGGAAAATACTGTGCACATATATTCTCTTAATCATTCTGTATCTATGGGTTTCGTTTTATTTTCATTTTATCCATAATGATGTGCTAGTTTTCGCTCATTAAATGTTTCGCATCATTGATTAATTTTTAAGGTTATCTATTTTTGAGGATAAAGTAAAACAAGAAAAAGCATCCGTGATAGATCCAATAAATAAATTCTCGCTTTGTCAACACCCTATTTCAATATAACGGAAAATCTCAAGATTAATCTCCTTCTTTTTTCTATAATAATAATCTCACCATCATAATCTCTTGGGTTATGCTTAGAATTCTTCATAAATTGCTGCCTTTCATCCCAATATTTATGATTTTTTAGAGAATCTGATGAAAAGAATCAATTTTTCACGCAGTAATTTCGTCTATGGTATTTGTTTATTAGATTAAGAATGTGAATGCTACATACTGACACATACAAGCATTATTGAATAAATTTTAAATTTTATATGAAATGAGTATCGTTATATTTCGATAATAATATAATTTCTGTGATTATGTAACTTCAAATATACAGTAAATTCTTAGAAATTTTATCATAATTTATATGAGAGCTTCAGCATTTGATAATTTTTATAAGGACCAGTTAAATGAATGCCTCCAATCAACAGGCTCTGTTTGGGAGGAAGCAGTCAAGTACAAATCACCAGAAGCTGCACAAAAAATGGCCAAATTATTTGAAGACATTATTGATCTACAACAAGATTTTGATTGCTATATGGCAGCTCGAGGAGGATATACAGAGGGAGACGACTATGACAATATTTTACAACAAGCTAAGCAATTTAAAGATCAAAATAGTTATTCTTATCAACGTTCTAAGCAACAGCTCATTGAACAACAGAAAGAAAAGATAAGAGCTTGCGATGATGACATTGTCATCGAAGAATCAGCAAGTACTGTTGGTCTTCTTTGCCCAATTACAAATAAGATTCCTACAAATCCAGTTGTTTCTCGAAAATGCCACCACGTTTACGAAAAGACTGCAATCATTGCATATATTCAGTCAAGATCAATGGGTAGAAATATGTCCGCTCCATGTCCATTTGCAGGCTGCAATCGTCAACTTTCTATTGATGATTTAGTTGAAGATCCTGAAGTTAATAGAAGATGTGATGAAGCTCGTGACCAAGCTCATAAAGATGATGAATACGAAGCAATCAAATAAAGAAAAGCATTACGCGAGCTAGCTGATGTAATGAAATATATTTATGTTCAAAATAAAACTATATTATTTGAATTTATAAAAAATTAGAAAAACTTATTTTTTTCTCTTTAGAACAAATACAAAAATTCATGATATTAGGAAGTATCTGTTTATCATTTTATGAATGTTTTTGATTTCATAGTCAAAAAAAGTTAGAAATCAGCCACAAATCGCCACCAAACTATAACGAAAAAGCTCAAAACAATTGTCATATTTATTTGAAATCAAACAAAATTGAATTCATTTGAATTAACTGTTGTAAAAATGATTAAATGGTTTTAATCCAACTCGATAACCAAATTCTTTATAGAATTAATAACTACAACTCACAAGACAAAGTGATTTTAGCAGTCAACAATGTTGAAATATTACTTAATAAGTCATTTGCTGTTGCAATTTCACAAAAGATTTTCTCGCAGTATCTATTGGATAATGGCATTACTAAAATTGATGTAAATACTGAAATTATCTCGCCAGATACATATAATGTATTGAAAGATATACTTCAATATAGGCAAACCGAAGTCGAGTGTGATGATACAATTTTGAAGGATCTCTTTCATATTGGAATGAATCTTGGAATTAATGAACTAACTAATTTCTATAAAAGTCAAGTTCTTGATAAAATGCAAATTGATAAAAATAATTGCATTGAATTACTCGAATTTTATTTATATGTTTCATCAAAAGACAAGATATTAGAATGCATTGACTTCATATCAGCGCATTTCTTTGAAATCGATAAAAATAAACTCAAATTAGCTTCAAATAAATTAGGCTTAGATATCCTTCAAAGAATATTAAGCAGAAAAGAACTTGTTATTGAAAATGAGGATTCTTTAGCCAATTTTATCATTTCATTAGCAAATGAGAACGAAACATTCTATCCATTATATGAGAATATTTATTTAGAGTTTTGCAGTAAAAATATCATTGATGAAATAGAAGCTTCGACTAACGCAAACAACTACAAGAACGTTGTTAAATCTCTCCATGATTCATTATTAAGAACGAGAAACTTTCTTCCAATTAAAACTATATCTCAAATAGAAACAAATTACTTCCAAAGCGGTAATGTTGAAATGTCTGCTTCATCATATGAAGATGGATCAGCTGATTTGATAAACAGATATAAAAAGGAGACTTTTGTCAAAACCAAAGATTATTCTAATTCATGGATTCAGTGGAAACTAAAATCAGGATTTGCAATTCAACCTAATGAATATATTATTAGATCTGTATCCGATTATGGATCATTTGTTAGTTTCCTTCAATCATGGAAAGTCGAAGGGACAACAATTCGAGGTGAAAAAATAATTTTGCATGAAATGCAAAATTCTGCATTTAAACAAGGAGATATACGTAAATACAGCATCAATACAAGCGATTTATTTGTTTCATTCAAAATAATACAAACAGGGAAAAATTGTAATGGAAATGATCAATTATTATGTGATGTATTTGATTTTTCCGGATCTATATATAGCTTTAATTCAATATGGGAGATGGAACATTAGCACTAGGTTGTTAGAACAAATAATTCACTAATATTATAATTTCTCTCCTCATTAAATAAAACCATCGATATTTATTGAATGTTTCCAATATATGATAGATAAACTTTACAATTTATTCTAATTACTCACCATCCTCATAAGTTTATCTTGTAAAGTTTGAACTGTATAAGTCATCATTCGAGCAGAATATTCCATAATATAAGTATACCTATCGCGAAGAAATGGAACTCTAATTCAACTGTTTTTAATTCCTACATATAAATCTTATGGTTTGTATTTTGATGATGAAAAAGCTTGAATATTTTGGCTGTGATATTATTGAAATATTCAAATTTGAAACTTTACATTAGAAATGTTTAGGAGTGCTTGCTGTTTTTGAATGAGATCGAACTGGAATTATCATTCACATGAGATGATACAAAGAGATGACATTAAGAAATATTTAAATTTGTTTTAAATAATTTGAATTATTGGACGCAAATACTTACAACGTGCATTACAACTAAATGGAAATCATGTAATAAGTGTAGAATGTTAATCAAATATTGAAAATTAACCATGCTTGGAAAAATATAATTCAAATGATTAAGATTTCATTCATGATTCATGTATTGCTTTTTTTAATTAAATAAATAAGGATTTTATTAAAATACGAAAAAAAAGAGAAAAAAGGTTTTGATAATTTTATGCGCAGGCAGAAGCAAATCCAAAGTAATCGAAAAGCTTCTGATCTGTCCATCTTCTTAAGATTGTAACAACCTGGTGTTCCTGTAATCCAAGTTTCATAAGGATTTCCTTTGCATCCTTTTCTGCAACGTAACCATGTAATTCTGGATCCTTAGCTTCGAACTGTGACTTGACATCGTTGAAATTAACTGTAGGTGTCTGTTTGATTGTTGTTACAATTCCGAATAAATCTGATTGTGGGAATTCTTCAGCTCCTGCTTCCATGTAGTTGAGAGCGAATTCATCGGCTTCTTCTAAGATGAATGTATATTTGTTGATCGTAACTTCCTTTCCGAGAGCGAAATCTGCAGCTGTGTAATATTTTCCAGTTTCTGGGTTCTTTATCCTTGTTCTCTGCAAGAACTTGCCTTCGCCAAAGCCAGAGTTTCTCTGTGGAGCTTCGAAAATGCCAACTGTATCGTCTGCAAGATAATACGAAATAACGAATTTTCTGTTCTTGTCCTGGAAGGCTGGGTTCTTGAAATGAGCTGCGAATCTGAGTAACTGGCCATCCTTCTCGATGAGCTTCTTGATATCTTTGCGCGGTGGCTTTGGATGCAAAGAATTGCAATAACCAAGGGAATCCTCTTCGTCTCCCCATCCGTTGTAAGGTGGAACGTCTTGTTTGATTCCAGAGTACTTAGCCTTCTCTTCGACGTTGATTGGAGTCCAATCGTGAATGCCGTATTTGTTATCGAGCCATTCGCGGGTGAATTTGTCTGCGTCGTAGATGAAGAAGTTGCGGTTGAAAGCATTGACTGTTTCGCCGATCATGAGGTCTGCATCTGTATATGGTTGTCCAGTTTTTGGATTTGTAAGAAGAGTCTTGCGGAGGAAGTTCGAAACTGGGTCGCGGCCGGAGTTCTGTGGAAGTACTTGTCTGATTTCGATACGTCCATCGACGAGGAAGTAATTGAGCACGAATTTTCTGCGTTCGCCGAAAAGAGATTTGCGGTCATCCCAGATGGTGTAGAAGCGAAGAACCTTCTGATCGAATTCAAGGAAGCGCTTAAGATTAGTCTTATCGACTTGTACGTGAGATACACGAATTGGCCTTTCTGTAAGCGTACGCTTGATTGTGTATAAGTCGTCTGGTGGTGTTTCGAACTCGCCAATGTCGCGGCCTTCGGACTGGAAGTACTGCTCTGTGAATTGGTCGCAAGCGTAAATTCTATAAACAATTCCGAAAATTTCGATATTGATACCGACCTTGAAATCAAGATTAGTGTATGTAACACCCTTGTCCTGATACAATGGATTAAGAACTGGCATTCTTCTAAGTAAAACGCCTTGTGCAATTCCACTGTTACGAACGTGGTTTTCCTCAATCATGACGGTGTCATCTTCGAGGTAAACCATAATCTTGACATAACGTACTCTGTATGTTTCTTCTGCAGATTCTGAGATATTTTCACGGAAGTATGCATAAAATCTAAGAACTAAATGCTCATAAGCAACATGTGCTGGAACATAATCTGGGAATGTCTCAGATGGTTGTGTTGGTGGAGCTGTAGTTGTGATATTTATTGATCTTTCAGTAATAGTCTTTTCCATATCTTCTGGTCTTTGAGTTCTTTGACCCATCAATCCAGCGGTGATCTGAAATGTCTGTGGCTTTCTAAAATCTGTTTTATGATGGTTCCTGAAGGAGTATCCTGGAAGATTAGGAAGCATCAATGAATAACGTATTTGAAACCGTTTTTTTTTCTCCATCTCATAGAGATTTATAAAACAAGGGTCTAACTCTAAAAATGTGTTTCTATGATCTATATCGTTATGATTTTCATAATATCAAATTAAAAGTATCACTTTATATGGATTAATTTGAGTAGTATATGTTGAAGGGTTTTGTGACTTTTTTTGTAAACGTAAGAATTCATACATTTTTGAGCGATTTTGTATCATTTTTTTTTACATATGAAGTAAAAAATGTATGATTTTTACGGTTTTTATTCTTACGTTTTTGAATAAATCAAGATTTAAAAATTTTCAGAATCGTAAGAAATTTTCACTAAACCCATACATAATGAAATAAAAAAAATAAAAAAAAATAAAAAAATAAACTTTAAAAATTCATGTCTTACATTTTTTGAATAATTTATTTTTTTAATTCGTATGAAAATGAGTGTCAAGACTAACGACGTTAAAAAATTGGGATTCACAAACGAGGAAATAAAGGATATATTAGAGGAGGCGAGTTATGAAGTTAATAAATATTATTTAAGAAATTGTCAAAAATTCGCGGAGTTATTAAATGATTTAGATTATGATGGAAAAATGAATAAAGATGATGTTATAAATTTCTTATATCCCACATCTGAAGAAGAAAAACCTAAAGAACCTGATGTTTTCCCTGAATATTATGAAGAACGGATTAAAGATGATGAATATGATGAAATTGAAAGACTGGAAAAAATAAGAGATGAAATAGATGAAAAAATTAAGGAATTAAGAGAAGTTGAAAAATATAATGAGAATGAAGTAGAGGGTTTAATGAATATCCCAGCTTCAGAATCAGAAGTTCAAAAATCTCATGAAGAAAGATATAAAAATTACTTTTTGGAATCTACTAAAAATTTATTAGATGGTGAAATAGATGAAACACTTTCAGAAGAAGGTACAAAATTTATTCATAAACATAAGTTACAATTTATTGACGATGGAGATTATCCATGTATATTACTTTCACCTCCTCTTGATTCTGAAAAATTCAAAAAAGCACTGAAAAATGTAACATATGCAACAAATACGATTAAGAAAGAAGACCATGATATTTACACAAATTATTATTTAAATAAATGTGCAGGTGTTGATAAAGTTTTTGATTTGTTAGATAAAATATCAAAAGAAACAATTGGTACATATAAAATTTTATGCGATTGTGGTTTCATTATTGAAGATACTAATAATGTTTCATATGAAAGAACAGCACCGAAGGAAGACGAAGTTGAAAGGTCTATACCATTCGTTATTAAGAATATAAAAGATATGAAAACTTATAAACATTATATTTATTCATTTATTTCAGAAAAAATGGAAGCAACCCATAAAACATCATCTCATCATTTTATAGCTATTCATACATTCCTTTTCAAAGTTGTGAAATTAAATAAGACAGGAATTAGATTTAATGTATCAGGGTACGCATTCTTGAGTAAATTAAAATGTATTCGTCACGTCGCAGATGATAAAAATTTATGTGTTCTTAATTCATTTTATGGACTTTAGCCCTGGACTTTAAAAAAAATAAACTTTATTTTTATTTATTTTTTAATTTTTTATTCTTACATAAATGAACAAAAACGGAACAGCTAAAATGAATGATAATCAAATTAGAGCAGAAGGTAGAAGGTTATTTAAACGCTTCTATAACATTCCTGATGGTGTTAATCCTAAAACTCGTAGAAGCTATTTAAATGAAGCAATAGATGCATATGAAGGGTTTGACATTTCATCAGAAAGTGAGAGATTAGCGAGAATGTTAAATGTTAATATTGATTTCTATTATTGTGATCCTCAACCAGAAGACGTGGACATAAATAAGGTAGACTTTCCATTAGTGGATTCAATAATGATAGATCCAGAATTTGAAACAATAAATATTTTATTAACACAGAGTCCATGTGGAAAACTTCACGCTGACAGAATAACAGACGTTGAAGCACTCACCGGCTATAAAGTTTGTCCATATTGTAAAGAAGAAGTTTATTCTATCCGTGATGACCCAGAAAGGAAAAACCAAAGAAGATTTTTAAAGCATTGTGAGAAATGTAAAGAAAATAATGGAAGATTAATTCAAGACGTTCAATTGCAAAAGACCCAGCAACCATATGCACCACATATTACGAAACAGAAGATATATCAGTGGTTATTAGCTCACAATTTGCAGAAATATTATAAACCGACAAGATATTATATTACTTTCGACTTCGAAACATTAGAGACTAAAGAAGAACTTCAACTTTCTGAATGTGCAACTTTGAACGCTTACTTAAAACCATTTATGGTATCATCAACTGTCAAAATAAAGCCGCAAACGGACTCTTTGAGTCCTGAAGGTCTTTCAGACCGAAGCGGCGAGGTCGTAGACCGTGATAAAACATTTACGAGGAATTTTTGCTTAACATCAAGTGATTCGTTCATCTCTGATTGGATTGAATTTTTATTTTCAACCTGTTCATTAGTTGTTGAATCAAATATTGAACAATATGAAGAATTAATGAAGCCGCAAACGGACCAAACGGCGGGGACTTTGTCCCATACATTAAATGAAAAACAGAAGGAAGCATTTAAAGAACTTCTAGATGAGGAATTCAATAAAGTGAATATCATAGGTTTTAATTCGGGAAAGTTTGATTTAAATTTAATTCTTCGTGATTTAAACACTGCAAAATGGAAAATAAAATCAATGCTGGGTTCTTCTTCTCAATTTAAGCAAATCATTGTAAAGAAAACAAACTGTCCATATGAATTAAGATTTATTGACATCAGAAATTATATAGCGGGTGGAACATTAGACCAATTCACTCAAGATTTCGGAAACAATAAATCACGTGTTAAATCCTTTTTCCCTTATCAATTCATCACATGGGAGAATTACGAAGATGAATTATATAAAGTGGAACCATTCACTCAAGATTCATTTTATTCAGCATTAACTCAAGAAACAATATCCGATTCAGATTATCAAATATATCTCAATGATGCTAAAAACTTTAAGAATAGATTAGAATATTTTATTCATTATTGCAATAAAGACGTTGAAATTATGATTGACCCAATTGATAAAATTATTGAAGAAACATTTGTTTATAAAATTGACATGCTTCATAATCTTTCTTTATCATCGAATGCATCAATGATTCGTTACGCGTTAGCATATAAGAACTTCAATCCTAACGAAACATATCCAGAAGAAGAAAATGTGGAATCAAGTTTTGAATTAACAAAAAAGTATTGGAAATATAAAATTGATTCATATAAGAAACAAGATGAAAAAGCAGAAAGGGATACTAAAAACAATGTTTCAATGGATGACTATCAATACTATCACGATTTAATCCTTTCATCTAAATGCAAAATGTGTGGTAAAGCGTTTACATATGCTAATAAACCAACATTAGATAGAATCGATAATGAAAAACCACATACCAAAGAAAATTGTCAGTTAATGTGTTGTTATTGCAATGTCGTAAAATCAAATAAAGATGAAGATGTTCAACGTTTAAGAATCAATTTAAGAAATTATACATTAAAAAATAATTTACCAATGACTCTAGATTCAGTTGAAGCTTATCACATCCTCCGTAATGGAATTACTGGTGGTTTATCAAATGTTCAACATAGAGTAAATCTTAAAGGAATCACGCACATTAATAAACTTTCATATAATCCAGAAACTAAAACTGTATCAAATGAGGACACTTCCAACATTATGACTCATTTCGTTGGTGTTGACTTTAATTCATTATATCCTTCATCATTTTCATCTAATCCTCATGATTTCATTCAATATACTGACCATAAAATGTATATGCCGGGAAGATTGAATGGTGTTATCATTTGTGATACAGCAACAAAGAAAGCAAAAGCACTGGGAATAATTAAGAAGAAAAATACTTTATTCGTGGCTGAAGTAAAGGGTCACATTGATGAAAAATACATTAATGATTACATAAACTTTTTACCAATAATAAGAAACTTTGATATTATCACAGATGAAAAAACAATTGGTGGTTTTATGTATAATTACATGAAATCAAACAATCTACCAGTTGACCAGAAACAGAGGAAATTAACTCAGTTAGCATCAACACACAACCAATATCAACCATTTTCTTCTTATTATCTTTGGTATCTAATAGACAGATTTCATTTTATCATTGATGACATTCAATCAATTTTAACATTTACGAAAAATACTTGTTTTAATGAATTTGCGAATGAATTTATGAACGAAAGACAAAAGGCTGAATTAGAAGGAAATAAAGGAAAAAGTTTATTTTGCAAGATTTCACTTAATGGATCATATGGTTACGATGCAATGAATACACAAAATTACGCAAAGACTAAAATAATGAATGCACAGAAGGCACGCGTTGCATGTATGTCAAATAAGTTTAAAAACATAAGAGAAATAGGAGAGGATACGTATCAAGTGATGCTTAAAGATAGATTTTATAGATGTGATACATGTTTACAAGAGGCATTCTTCACTTTAGATAACGCAAAATACTGGTATTTGGTTTTCATTTATGATTTTATGTATAAATGCATGGATGTTAATCGTTTTCATTTCATTGAAGGTGATACTGATTCATCTATTGGGCAATCGCTGGCGACCAAATCTTCCTAACACTCAAGCATTTCAAGCAATTGTAACCGATAAAAATTTTATGAAAAACATTTACAAATTCGCACCTTTTGATTTCTTCTGTTTTTAATGAGAAATTTAAACCTAAATAAAGAATAAAGCTGAAAGAAAAAGCACATGAGAAGAAGTTATTGGGTTTAGCAATGAGAAACAAGGTGATAACATGGTTGCTTTATGTCCTAAGTGTTATACTTCATTCAACGGTTCAATTGATGAAGTGATTTTAAAAAAGATTGCACAAAAAATGAAAGGAGTTAGTTTACGACAAAAATAAACAATTAACACCTAAAAAATTATTTGG